TCAGGAACAGTCTCCACATACGTGTATATATCAAAAACTAATTCAACGTTCTTCTATTCAAGTGTCCACAAAACAGAGAGAAATTATTCTCTATAGTTGTTGCGAGCATTGCAACGACGTTGTTACGAAACAATAATATTCAAGCAGAATGCACGTTCAATGAAATATCACTGCCCAGCAGATGCTGCGCAGGTTAGTTGAAACCTCGATAAACCTCGAGACCATTTTCAATTTCCAAAGACAGCGCAACAAAAGGGTTAATGTTTTAATTTACTCACTGGGGCTATATCATATTCGTGGACTATAACGAACGGGCACACGCAGCGGTCTGTGGCGCGCGGATCACCGGGGCCCCGATATCTCGGACAAGGGAAAATATTTACGGGAAAATTTCGCCGTGGGTGGCGCGGCTTCATGAATAATTTCGGTCCGCAGGAGACTCGTCAGCCGTCGGCTAGACGCCCCGAGCGCTCGGTTCTAATTACGGCAACTGCAGAGCTCGTCTGCGCCTCCGGCGATCCCTCGGGTCAGTTTCCAACCTCTCTCCCCCCACCCACCCTCCCGCCGCCCCGTTTTCCTACCCCAGCACAATTTCCACAGAGTCCACATCCCTTCCACATCCGTTCTCTGAAATGTTAGCGAGCGCTGTACCCCAGCCTTCTCTTCCAACAGCCTCGAAAACCACCCCCTTTTGCCATCGACCCCATATACCCCGTCGACTGGCTGATGCCGCGGCTCCGGTAACCGGTTACAAAAGTTTTCACCACCTGGAGTCTTCGTCGCGCGTTTTCCAATTTCGAGACGCGCCGCGATCCCGATATTCCAAACAGCGCGATCGTCCCAATCCGGTCGTATTTCCCGCGGAAATTCGCCAGAATTCGCGCACCGTTTCGTTTCCTCTTCCTTTCTATTCTGACGGAGTGTTTTGCAGGGTGTTGTTCTTCTTCGTTCCTCTTCGTGTTGTGAAAGTGTAATATAATTTGAGGTGAAGCGATTGAAGTGACTAAACGGCGAGAAGAGATTTCAATTTTTAGTATACGAAGATTTCTAACAAACTCTGAACTGACGTATTTCTTTTTGCTAAGTACGTATATTTAGGCAGATGATGTTTCAGTATTTTTAGAGAAGCTTCGATGTAGGAAATGGGGAAACTATAGGAAATGATTATTCTGGAATTTTGCAATGACTCAGAAGGCGCAGCATTGTTGAATGATTCATTATATTCAAGCTGTGGAATTATTGATCGAAACTAATTTAACAGATGATGACAAATAAACGCGAATTATATTGAAAAGAACATAATAAAAATACGATAGAAACAAATCGATTACAAAGACACGATATTCTCCTCATTGTTAATTAAATATTTTTCACCTTGTACAAATCGTAACAAGTATTATTACTACCCACGATTCCATTCTACACGTTCGCGTAGATTCTACATCCTCGAGAAACATAACTAACTAAGAAACGAGAGGAGAAATCGAGGGTAAACGTATGTATGTATGTATGTATGTATGTATCAGTCCTTTATGAATGAAAATTGCATCACGGTGTCTAATTAGAATAAGAAATCTTCTAACCGGATCTCGCTAACGCAATATCTGGAATATCAAAGCAAAACAAGTCGTTGGTAATTGAAAGTTACTCGATATCACGATTGTCAGGCTCGTGACTGATACGAATCTCGCCACGGGCTAACCGGATCTTCCCGGAGAAAAGAAACGATACTCCCCCTAGGTTCGATCTGTTTGGAGAGCCGATCGCGCGGAACGATTGAAACGAGGAGAACTTTCGTAGCAACAACGCGTCAGAATTCCCTTGCTAACGTTAAATTAATGGATACCAGTAAAGAGACACGCGGAAAACATATCGCTGCGGCAGAAGATAAATCGCGTTCACCGTTTCGTCATTTTCTGCCGCGGTTTCGAGAGGAACGTGCTTCCCTCCGACGCCGCGCGCGCACCGTTATTTCGCTTTGTCACGGATCGCGCGTCTCCGAATGACAGCACGGTAATTATTTCAGATAGCGACGTGTCTAAACGAACTGGAACTGTTTCCTTTCTTCCTTTTCTTTTCGTTTGTTCCTTGAGCGCAGCTCATACCTGCTGTTGGTGACTGCCAATTCATCAAACGAGACACGTAGCATGTATTATTCACTTTATGTTGTACATAAATATGTAGGCAATTATACATTCGATGTATTTCTTATTATTTTTGGATTCTAACCAACCTGTTAGAATATACATTTTTCGATAAATGCATAAAATGTATAAAATCCTTGATGAACGTTCGAAGCTTGTTGTCAGAGTCTTGATACGGTTCGATCGTTCGCCCATAACTCTCGAATCGCCTCACGCGAGAAAATTTAAGTGCTCGTGTCGCCGTCGACGTGGCTGTTTCTCATAAACTCGCGTCGATCACGAAACGCTTTGATGTTTCAGAGCTCTCCTCCTCTCCTCCTTTCCTCTTCCTCCTCCTTTTCCTTATTTCTTTCGATTTTCTCCAGCGTGTTTCCTCTTTGTCGAAACAACTTCCTGCGATTGAACGTGACTATGTAGGAAAACGCAGCGCGAAATTCGTTTCATGATTTTGTGAAGTTTTGAGGGAACGATTGTTTATAACTGATTCATCGAAGATTTACGCGTGCAAACGAATATTGTCGAGTTTCGAAAATTATGATGTGCACGAGATACGATGTCGACGATTGTTGCGATAATAAGCAAGGATTTAATGTTTCTTCGGACAATTAAATTAGTCGGGTATTACTTGGCGACACTTGCCATTTGTAGAAATATTGATGTCTACGTCATTGACATCGAAAGTAAACGCCCAACGAATTTCAAACGTCAAAAGTTATAAAAATCTTTAATAATTAATTAATCTTCACAATCGAGGAACGATAAAAAGAAAACAAAAAATAAGAATGACGTACTGAATTGTGTGTTATAAAATATACAAAAAACGGTCTTTCAAGCAGCTTTCAAAGGCCTGCACAATTCCAAGGCTTTCGAATATTCTTGTGTTAGTCCCCATGTCTCGCCTGTGACAAAAAGGAAAAAAATTGAAAACGCAACTTATGCAAGGCCTTCCGTGTCTCGAGTTAGTTCAGGAGTGCATTAAGCTCTCGAAAGCGGATTCCGCGCGACGCGGCACAATATGTCACTGTTGAGAACGCGAGATGCATAATTGATCATAAGCATTGTTCGATGACGCCGGAATGCAGTCAACGATTGAGCAATTTCATTGTGCCTTCGGTGTTCTGCCTCTCCGTGCACTCTGTAGGCGAGTGTTCAAATATTGCCAGTCGATTACGCTTTTTCTTCGACTCTATAAAGTCGCGAGGTCATCATCCTATCGACACCGGTGCGTTTCGCGCGTTTTCTCCAAGTTCTTCGCCGCGTAATTACCCACGGATGATGTTAGTTTCACGAGTTGTTGGATAATTACGTTTCGAACGAGTGAGTCGTGAGGTGTGATACATGCACAACAGTAGTTACATAAAATATTTCTACATATTTTTATCTTCTAACGAAGCATTTTCAGAAAGTATTAAATAATACGAACTTTAAAATAAAAATATTAAAAAACAATTTAATATTCGATACAGTATTATAGATAATCAAATTTTTCTTTATTATTTAATTGTTCCACTTTTGATGCAAATATAGTACTCGTCTTAGAACTTTTGAGCGAGGTGTATCTAGAGTGTCTCACGAAAGTATTCGAACGTTTATAATAGAAGAGGTAAGAAATGCATATGTCGTATAAAATATTTTGAAATTTTATTAACACTCTAATATGAGACGATTAATTCGCAAATTAACAATTATATTCGTAAAATTTGAAGTTACAAGTTGTTACGAGATACTGTAAATATTGAAGATCTCATTCATATAATTATAATTTATTTTAAATTTGATGAGATGTAATCATAATAATCATGTCTTACTACAATATTAATAAAACATCAAAATATCAAAATTAATATAATATATTCGTAAAAAGTTCCTACAAGTATTTGAATATTTTCGTGAGACACCATAATTGGATGTAGTTAATTAGTGCATACAGTATTGCACAGTACATGATATTAAATGTATCTAAATATGGTCCGTATCAATACACAATTGATTTGTGTTTATTATTTCAAAGATGATTCATTAACCACTTGCTCTGTAATAATATCAATTTACATTCATGACATGTAAGAATTAAACATAATGAATATTAGCTAGATCACTACAGTTTCTATATTAAATTTGTAATTATTTGAATGTAAAATTTAAATAATTTTCTTCTTTAGATAGCGTTAAAGTGCTAATATTTCGTTCTTACTTTATATTTTTCGTCTGAATGAACTGAGAAACTTCAGTATGTCAAAGTTGTGGGAAAGAGAATTCGCAAGACTGAGAATTGATTTTGTTAAAGTATTATTTTGTAATTCTGTGTCTATGCATCATGATTATGGAAAATGAGGGAAGGCTTCCATCACAAAAAGCTACATATATTAACTAGCTTGTATAGAAATGATTAGTATCTGGTATCTAGTCGTGTGATAAATTGTTCATTGGTAAATTAATTGCCGATCGACGCAGAAGCAAAACTAATCAAGCAAGTTGCAAAGAAACGAAGACCGCTTTGCTTATTTAATAGCTCTGTAAAATTATTCTGATATTCGTAGATACTGCTTCTTTCCCTTTTTTCTACAGTTAACGTCTGGTCAATAAAATTATAGATACATAACACATTTGGTACATTTCATGCATAAAATATTAGCACGAGATTATTAATATCAGCACAATTATAGCATCGAAACATTTTTTGAATCACTAGTAACTGTGTTACATCGAAATCGTATTTTTAAAGTACCGCGTTATTGTAAAAACGTTATAAAATTGTTTCGAACATCCACACTGTCTAATTTCTCTAACAGCTCGGTCTAAATGACCATAGAAGAAAAAAGAAAAAAGAAAAACATAGAACAGCCAAACACTCACCGCTTTTGACACGTGGGCTCCAGGTTGACGGTTGTTCTCGTGTCCACGGCGATGACTTGAGAAAAGAAAATCCTCCGAGACTCCTCACCAGCAAAGAAACAACTCAACACTTTCTTCGAGCCACCGTGGAGGTTACACTCGTGTGTGTCACGCACAGATCCACGTGGTCACGGTTCACGTGTCTTCTTTCGGCAAGTAAAACGAGCGCGAGCCGCGTACGACCGCAGCTTTAATGGGACTAAAGTGTCTTCGCCAGCGTCACAGCGTTCGCGCTACTTCCACCACCACTTCAACCACCACCACCTTTAGCTACTTCGACGTCGACCTTCCCCTCTCTGACGCCTCTCTCTCTTTCTCCCTCTCTCTGTCTCGCTCTCTCTCTTTCTCTCTCTCTCTCATTTTCCCGTTCTCTCGCGGCGTTGGTAAGCGCCGTGAGCTTGCAATCCTCTTCACCCTCGAGGTCATCCCACTCTACTGTGTGTCAATTGGCTTCAGCCCCGTCGGACGCCCGCGGTCAATTCGATATTCACGGTTATCATCGTTACAACTTCCATTTATTACGTTTTCTTTTTACACAATTTCTTTATTGCCAACTTACGCTCCAACAGGAGATGACTCGAGCTGCATCTAATACTCGCGAGATAGATACGGATACGGTTTTATTTGAGCAAAGTCCACTGCATGTTTTCAGTATGAAAGATCAGAATTACCGCTACGTGTTGCGTTAAAATATTTTTATTTGCGATTCATTTTAATGGACTTCATACATCATCAAGTATTATTCTTTTCATGTTGGAGTTATGAAGGAAATCTGCAAGCATTGGACAGTGCGATCCTAGTCCGATGTCTTTTGTTTCTACTCGCGTCTATCGATCTAACAAACTAAAATCAATCACACGATTGATTGTTATCCTTCCAGATAGATAACCAACAGCGCGTGTTTTTTTCATTCCGCTTACGCACAACTTCAATTTCATTTGCCCGGCCGTTGAGATCTCAGGTAGAAGTAAATCGTCGAGCAACTTTGTTGCGATGCAAATGAAATTTAATCAACGTAGCAACAACTTCATCCCGGCTTTACCGCCCGAGGTGTCTCACCCCGCTGGTGTTTCGATCCCTTAATCCGATGTCTAGCTTCTTTAATTTAGATTATCGCGTTCGTCATCTTGTTCCTCGTTCTATTTCTTCGGTACTACTCTTCTTCTATATCTCTCGAGGCGTTCCTCCCTTTTGATAACCGCCCGAAGCGCGATTCGGCTCTTCGAACACGCGCACGTAGGATCCCGTCGTTCGTATATCAATCGGTTTTCCTCCTTTTTTGCATAGTTCGTTCGCTCGATGCTTCTTTCCTACGGTTCGTATTAAAGTAAGAACTCCTGAAAAATCGCTAAATCGTACAGGGTGAAGAATGAGAATTCTCCTCCTGTGTTTGGAGATCGCGGTTCTGAACCGTACGCACGTGTTAATCCTTAATTAGAGTTAGCTCCTGACTTTTACTCATCACTTTTACCATTTCTCTTTGAAATTCCTCCAAATGAAATCCATTTGCTTCGATTGCTTGAATCAAATTTGAATGCAATCACTTGTTACATCGATGGTAAAGGTGTACACACAGGCGCAGATCGAGGGAAGGGAGGATGAAAAAAGTGGCGGAAGCGGGGGGTTCGCGCGATAAGTTACGTCCTCGAGATTGCGACCTCGGCGTCGTGTAATTTTTCCACCTGGAGAAATAATTTGTCCGATAAACAATTTAGATAAACGGTGCTATCTATGCGTCTCTCTCTTTCTCTCTCTCTCTGTCGTTTATTACCGCCTCGCTAATAACAATAATTTGCGAATCCACCTTTAAGTTAACTAATGAGATATTTAGTATGCACGACACGCCCGGCCCCCGCCGTTCTACTCACCCGTTCATTTACCTCTTTAGCTCGGGCCAGGAGGAGTCGCCGGTAATTGCACGCTATATAAATTATCCCGCAAGAAGCATCCGACGTCCGTCATTACCGGCTCGCTCGGCGATATTGTCGCGTTTCCGAATGATTGGTGTGAATAAAAGCAATCGATGATTTCACGATTGAAATTACTCGTGCCGGCGAGTAAGTTGTCCGGGAGATTTATACGAAAAACTGGATCGACACGCTTCGGGCCGTTTTGCGGGCGGTTTTATCCCCGGGACGGATAATCTTGGTCTTGGCAGTACATCTTTCGCTTCCCTTATTAAATACAGATGTACGCGTCTTGTCGCTCTAATCTATCTTTCTGATACTATCTACACTGCGGATGAAAAATTCCGAATGTTTCTTGTTTCTGTGTTATACACAGGTAGATACTGAATTTCCTACTTTTTAAAAGGCAAAAGGAAAATTAACCACTGATCACAAATTACAGATTAACGATTACCGAACGTAATCACGATTCATGTCATGAATTGAAGATCATGATCGCCACGATTACTTTCAGTAACTTTTGAATTAAAAAAAGTAAATGATGTAGCATAGTATGATAATCGGAGAATAATCAATTGCTACTCAACTCTGACTCTGTACGTGCATTTTTGAAAAATGAAAAAAAAAAAATCATTCACGACTAACCATCGATGCTAAAGTCTCAAAAATAAACAGGACTCCACGTAGGAGGCTTTGAGCGGGCTGATCCGGAGGTGCGCAGTCGACTCCGCAGCTGGAGCTTTTCCAAGCGTGCCTGCCACGGTCGCGTCCTCGTAAAGTTACAGTTGGTACTTCGCCGATACGATTGGCCATCGGCCATCGAGAATAATGGGGCAGTTGGCGAGGGCCGATATAAAGGGAACCAAGCCTCGGCTCGGCTCCGGTGTCTGTCGTATTCGTGTTGCCCGCGGCTGAAACGGCCACGGCCGACAACATCGTTCCAGAATGCCTCGGGCACTTCCAAACCCACCGGACGATGCTGCTCGCATACGTAAACGCTAACTTCGTCAGGGACAAAGTGACGCTCGTGTACGTAACGGTGGATCGAGCCACGGATCCTGGACAACGAAAGAGAGCAGAACGTGAAGGGTGAGGAAGAGGAGGAGAAGGAGGAGAGGGTTACTTTGCCATTTCGAGGCACATTCGAAATGTCCAGCGATCGACGACCATCCACGGTGTTCGTTTTTGTCCACGGCTTTTTGCCACGGTTCTGATTATCCAGCGACTGAGAGCACGGCCAGTGTCCGGAATCGATTCGCGATCTTCATCAAACTAATCGACATTTGGAAATCATTCGAGGAAGCGACTCGACGTTTCCACCATTTTCCACCACGAGATTTGGTCGAATGGATATTGGTTACCTGAATATTGGTTTCATTCCGTGGTAATGATGGTTGAGTATAATCGTTTTGATAAGAAAATATTGCAAAGTAGAAGCTCATGGTATTCAGTTATTTCGTAAGCAACGATATCGTTTTTTTTTTTATTATTGGAATCAATTCTGAATTCTGGGTTTATTCTTTTTAGGAATCAAAGGTTATGTAAGAACGTATGATTATTATGGAAGAGAGTTGACTGTGATACGAATTTTTATAAATTTTGATAATTATACTAGTATTGAATTATTTTCTTTTGCACGTTTAAGTTTCTTTAGAATTCTATTAAATATTTGTTTTTTGATTGTTGATAAATATTCCCGTATATTTGTACTTCATTATCTTTTTCTCTATTAAATTTCCTGTTTCAATTTTTCAAAATTCCCACAGTAACTACTCCCAATAAGTTTTAAAATTAACTCTCAGAAAAACCGTATGAAATTGGAATGACCCAGTAGTTCATTCGGAATTTTAATCACGCGATTCGGCTGAGTGGTTTGTTCCGTGATTGAAACACCGTATCGTTTTAATAAGAAAATATGAGCTAAAGAAATTCTTGGTATTACAGTTATTTGGAATTTTTTAATGCTATGATCCGATCGAATGGATATTGGCACTTTCGGTTTTAGCAAAGGTAGTCGCTGAAACGTTGTATCATTGATAAAGAATGGTGCTGTTCGAGACTTTTATGATAGTTTATGCGCATACTCGTTTTTATGAAGAGGTTTTTAAGGGAGGCTCATCGAGGTATGGAAGTTTTTGCGAAGGATTTTTGTGATAATAAGACATAGTATGTGGAGTTTGATGAATTCTTGGAATTTTTGGTTGCTAATTAATTATTAAAAGATTTTTTCCTTGTTGCCAGGTAGACGCATAACGTTTTAGTGATGTCGAGCACATTGTTTTTGATCGCATTGTGGCGGATTTTAAATTCGTTTTTACACCAGTCTAGCAGCACAGCGTGGAGAAGAAACCTTCTAAAGAACCATAAAGAGGTAGCGCAAACTAACGAGATGTTAATTAATTAGCGCAAATAAAGACAGTTTTTTGCTACTTAGGTTTTCCTTTTTGACGGATTGTATGAGTCATTGTGAGCCAGAAGTTCGTATAAATACAAGATCTGTGTTAAGTAGATCTGGAACGTTACGTACAGACATATTCAGGTTTACTAACTGCGGAATATAAATTCTATGCTTCAGATTAGACTGTGAAAATGCGTTGCATAGAATGTGCAAAGAATATGTAAAATATCCAGAATAGAAATATTAATTACAGTATTTCTATGTATAACACATTCCATTTGTTTAATCATATTCGTGAAATTTAAACCTAAAGATTCATAACTAATCATTCAATTGATATGTTGCAAGGGTTTACGGTTTTATCACTTAAAATAACATTATTTAAATTATTATCTAGTAAGTACGAGAAACGAAACGATTGACCCTGACGGTGATATCAATCAATTTAGCTTCCGTACGTCTCACGTAAAAATCAGGAATCAGTATCTCCTATGTGGTCGTCTTCATTTCTCTGATTTTGCTTCGCTGATCGATTATCTCATCTATAAAAACATACAAATGGTATCGACGGAGCAGATAACATTTTACGATCGTTCTTTTCCAGCGCGAAGAGACGAATGTATCTTGAATCGTCGAATCAACTACCGTCCACGGTGATGGATCGATCGATCCAACCATTCGGTCGTCACAACCCGCGATAGATATCGCCGGAGATCGCAAGAAGAGGCAAACAGATACGCGCACGATTCACAGAGTAGAGACGATCATATCATCTGCTTTCACTCGTTGCAGGACCGGTTTCTGGATTGCGCGCATCACGGGTATATTCATTAATTAGACTGCGGATATTTACGCACTTATAGGAAGCTAATACAACCAGTTATTAACAGTACAAAACAGTACTTCTC